GTGAGGAGCTGGCCCTTTAAGAGAGTGGTTCTCCCTCCTAGTCCTTTCAGGGCACCTGAGCTTCTACCCACCTAACTACCCACCCACCCAGAGCGCTGCACGGGTGAGACTGGGCGCACAGGCTAGGTCTGGTGGGGGACTGGGGGAGCCCAACAGGGAAAGGTCCTGGCCACAATAGGAAATGAATCCCTGAACCAGCTGGTCACCAGCCTGGAAACTGCTGTTGCTATTACTACCACCCTGCACCCACACCCACATCCACATCCACACATGCGCGAGCGCGCGTGCACACACACACACACACACACACACACACACACACACACACACAGGCTTCAGGCAGGACACGCCCTCCGCTCCAGCGCAGGTCAGAACGCAGGATCCGCTGTCAGACCCGTTCCCCACGGCCCCCGGGGTGTGGCCGCCCACCTGCCAGCAGGGAGTCTCCGCCCGACCGGGAAGGGACGCCCCCGCCACCGCCACCCTCCGCCCGAGCCAGGTGCCCAGCTCCCAGCGACGGCAGCTCCTGGATCGCCGCCTCCACCCCTTCCTCCCGGCAGTGCGAAGACAAAGCCGCGCACACGCACACTGGGGCTACGCGGGCGCACACCGGCCCTCACATGCACACACCCGGGAGTCACACTGGAGCGCACACAGCGACACACACACACCCGCCACAGGCTCCAGCCACAAGCGAAGCCACGGGCACACGCTCTCGCCCAGAGGTGTACACGCTGCTGCACATTCGGACACACCCTCTCACAGGCACATTCACCGACGGACACACGCAGACACGCGCACCCTCACCCAGATGCGCACGCACCGCTCAGCCCTGGCGCGGGAAGACACACAGGCACACACCCTCACACCCGCACACACGGTGCACACACGCACGCGCGCACCCCGAGCGGCCGCTCGCACAGCTCCACGGGCACACGCGCGCTCACACCTAACACACACTCGGAGACGTGAGCCCCACACAAGAACCCGCGCCAGTTCCGACAGTCACCAACCGAAGCCCGGGGCTCCCGGAGCCGGCCCGCCGGCCTGTCAGTGCCCGAAGATCGGAGATCTAGCCCGCCGCCCTCGGCAGCCAACCCACACGCACAGGCGGGACCCGACGCGGCGGGGACCCCGGGACGCAGAGGGGGACGGCGGGCGCGGCTAACCTGGCTGCGGCGGCGCGGCTTCCGGGCGCTGTCTCGAGGTCCTGGCGTCCAGCGGCCGCCCCGGCGGGCTCCTAGGCGCGCTCGAGCTGCGCAGAAATGCCCCGCTCGCTCGCGCGCTCGCTCCTGCTCTCCCTCCTACGGCGCTCAGCCCCCTCTTCGCCCGCCCCCCAACCCCACACCCCCTCTCCCCGCTCCGCCCCGCCCCGGCCGGCTCCCCTGGAGGAGGCGGCGGCGATCCCGGCCCCTCAAGCAGCCGCGGGCGGGCGAAAGAGCAGGCAGCGGCGGCGAGCAGCCAACGCCAGGGGAGCGCCGGAGCCGCAGGAGCTGCGGCCGCGCGCCGGTCCCTGGGGAGGGAACAAGGAAGGGGGCTGAGCCCAGCGAACCCTCCCGGCTCTGGGAGCCTGCCACCGGCTTCCCCACGTGGGCCGGGCGTCTACCTGACCAGCGGCGGGGCTCAGAGGCCCGGCAAAGAAGAGGAGCAGACCCCACCCGGGGTCCCCGCCTCCTCCCGGGTCCCCGCCAGCGCCGACCTAGGTTTTCCCCGGCTTAGATTTCTCGGCTCTGTGCCAGGTGCCCCGGGCTAACCCCGCGGCCCCGCGCCCAGCTCGCCGACCTCGTCTACCTCCAGCTGAGACCTGGCCCACGCCCACCCGCCTTCACTCTGCACTTCCATTGTTCCCGCGGCCAGGGCTCGCGGAGGATCGCCCAGCGCGTTCCAGCCCCTCGCAAGTGGCAACCTCTGGACTCTCTGGGGGCTCTCCAAAGGTCGAGTCCCTGGCTGTGGGTTCCCGACGCCCACCCTCCACAAGCCCAAACACACCCAAAGTAAAGGGCTTTTCTAAATTAGGGTTATAACCACCACGGCCCTTATAGGCACTCCTTTAGGTCCTGCTTGGAGTACATACTGAGGCTAGGAGAGAGGAGGAACTAACCTGTGTTCAGCGAGCCCAAGATAGATAGCATCTAGAAGAAGATGGGGAAGGGATGAAGTGTCTCCCATCTTTAGATAAAGAAAGGAATTCCTGCCCTAGGGCTCCTGGGGCAGGGCCAGGCCCTCCAGAAGTGCCCAGAATAATGAGCCTGGGCCTCCTTTGTTAGATGCTAAAGGCAGAAACAGAAGAAAGAAGCAAAAGTCACTGGCTTACCAGGGTGGACAGGCAAGTCAGGACATATGCAAAGGCCTACCAAGTAGCTTTCACCTACTTGTCTCACTTAAGTGGCAGCTGGGATTACTCCCATTTTGCAGATGGGAGCCTATCCTAGGCCTCCCCTCTAGGCAGCACAGAGCTAAAGTGAAGCCCAACAATTCTGGTTCTTCACTGTGGTCCACACCTCAGGTATAGGATACTAAGAGCAAATGCAAAGTGAAGCAGCTGAGAACATAAGAAAGCAGGGAGGAGAGGCAGGGTTTGGGCCTCCAAGGATTTACACAAACTAAGGGAGGGCAAAACTAAGGGAACTGAGGCCCCAAAGAGGGACTGAACGTGGCTTGTCCAGGAAGGAAGATTATGATTAACAATAAGAACATGTGCTCGCTTCGGTAGCACATATACTAAAAATTGGAAAGAACTGATAGGCTGAGCATGGTGGCTCATGCCTGTAATCCCAGCACTTTGGGAGGCTGAGGCAGGCTGATCACCTGAGGTCAGGAGTTTGAAACCAGACTGACCAACATGGAGAAACACCGTCTCTACTAAAAATACAAAAGTAGCCAAGCGTGGTGGCACATGCCTGTAATCCCAGCTACTAGGGAGGTTTAGGCAGGAGAATCGCTTGATCCCAGGAGGCAGAGGTTCCAGTGAGCCGAGATCACACCATTGCCCTCCAGCCTGGGCAACAAGAGCGAAACTCCATCTCAAAAAAAAAAAAAGAACCGGTAATAACTAACTTGTTTGTTGGAACACTTACTGTGTTATTCCAGTTCTTGTTCAAAGAGTTTTATTTGCATTAACTCATTTAATTCTCACAATAACACTAGAGGTTATTCTTATTCCCACGTTATGCACATGGAAACAAAACACAAAGACATTACATAGCTTCCAAAGTGGCGGAGCTAGGATCCAATCTTGGAAAGCTGACTCCCAAGCTTCCATTTTTTTTTTCCTTTTTGAGACAGACCCTCACTCTGTTGTCAAGGCTGTAGTGCAGTGGCACGATCTCGGCTTACTGCAACTTCCACCTCCTAGATTCAAGTGATTCTCCTGCCTCAGCCTCCTGAGTAGCTGAAATTACAGGCATGTGCCACCATGTCCAGCTAATTTTTGTATTTTTAGTAGAGATGGGGTTTCACCATGTTGGCCATGCTGGTCTTGAACTCCTGGACTCAAGTGATCCGCCCACCTTGGCCTCCCAAAGTGCTGGGATTACATGTGTGAGCCACCTAGCCCAGCCCCAAGCTTCCACTTTTAACAAGCACAAAACAGACAGAAGCAGCAGCCTTGAAAGGGAGGCAAAGACATTTGAACTACTAGAGCACCCAACTCAGCAGGACTTTTTTATTTTTTTAAGAGACCGGGTCTCCCTGTGTTGCTCAGGCTGGAGTGCAGTGGCTATTCACAGGCGCAATCCCACTACTGATCAGCACATGAGTTTAGACCTGCTCTGTTTCTGACCTGGGCCAGTTCACCCCTTCTTAGGCAACCTGGGTGGTCCCCTGCTCCTGGGAGATCACCATATTGATGCCCAACTTAGTTTGAACACCCGATTGGCATAGCGCACTACAGCCCAGAACACCTGGACTGAAGTGATCCTCCAGCCTCAGCCTCCTGAGTAGCTGGGACTACAGGCACGTGCCACCGTGCCCAGAAACATTTTTTTTTTTAATTGATGTCTTCTGTCTTCTGTGTGGTTACCTGGTACCCAGCAGGGCACCTAGAATATAGGCCTAATTTGTTAAATGATGGCACAACTGCCGCCTAGTGCTGGAGAGCAGGGTGCCACATAGAGGGCTCAGTTGCAGGCCTCTCTGCTCTGCTGAGCTTTTTTTTTTTTTTCAGTTTTAGACGGGGGTTTTCTCTTGTTTCCCCGGGGGGTGTGCAATGGGGTGATCTCAGCTCACCGCAACCTCCGCCTCCTGGGTTCAGGCAATTCTCCTGCCTCAGCCTCCTGAGTAGCTGGGATTACAGGCACGAACCACCATGCCCAGCTAATTTTTTGTATTTTTAGTAGAGACGGGGTTTCACCATGTTGACTAGGATGGTCTCGATCTCTTGACCTCGTGATCCACCCACCTCGGCCTCCCAAAGTGCTGGGATTACAGGCTTGAGCCACTAAGCCCAGCCTCTGCTGAGCATTTTTATCAGTTGGTTTTAAATGAAGCTGAGGAAGGTACAAAGTGTTGATCAAATCTACTGTTGCTATTAGGTTGGGAGGGAAAGTGAACACTCCAAAAACCAACCAGAATTCGTTTTTTTCTTTCTTTTTTTTTTTTAAAGATGGGGTTTCACCATGATGGCCAGGCTGGTCTTGAACTTCTGACCTGAGGTGATCCACCCACCTCAGCTTCCCAAAGTGCTAGGATTACAGGCATGAGCCACCACGTCCGGCTCTTTTTCTTTTTTTTTTTTTGAGACAGAGTTTCACTCTTGTTGCCCAGGCTGGAGTGCAATGGCACGATCTCGGCTCACTGCAACCTCCGTCTCCTGGGTTCAAGCAATTCTCCTGCCTCAGCCTCCTGAGTAGCTGGGATTACAGGTGCCCAACACCACACCCAACTAATTTTTTTTTAATTTTTAATTTAAAACTCCAAACAAACTCTTTGTGATAATTTTTTATATTTTTAGTAGAGATGAGATTTCACCATGTTGGCCAGGCTGGTCTTGAACTCCTGACCTCAGGTGATCCGCCTGCCTCAGCCTCCCTCAGTGATGGGATTACAGGCATGAACCACCGCACCCAGCCTCAGAACCAGTTTCTTAAAGCTCTCAGCAGCCTTGGAAGCTGAGCTAGAACTCTCAAGATACAGTGCCTCAGAGTAAGTATAAACTCCTGCTCTTGTGTTCAAACCACAGCAGTCCCATAGAACTTTCCATGATGATGGAAATGCCCTAAAAAAAAAAAAAAAATTCCATAAGCTCCAGTGGACAGATATCCAGGAAGACAATTTCAGCTTAATATAAAGAACTCCGTAACAGTCCAAGTTACCCAAGAATGGAACGGACCACCTTGGGAGTGATGAATTCCTTGTCAATATATGTATTCAAGGAAAGATTAGGACTTCACTGGGAAACTGAACTAGAATCCAGGTGACCCCTCAAGTTGAAAAAATGGGCAAGTTATATTGGGAAGGGAAAGACAAGATCAAAGCTGCACTTCCAGACAATTATGTGACTACCTGTGTAGAACAAATGGGTGCGGAGGGATCAGAGGCAGGCAGGACCAGTGGGAACCACTGTAGTGGTCCAGAAGATAAGAGAATAGACTGGGAGGCCATGGGAATGGAAAGCCAACGCAAGTGTGACTTGAAAGGGGCACTGGCACTAGCCTGGGAGTCAGAAGCTGCAGGTTCTAGTCCTGCCTCTGCCATTAACTTATTGTGTAGTCTCAGGTAAATCCCAGCCCTTGAATAAATCCCTTCCTTTATTCCAATTTCAGAGTTCCTATCTGTAAAATGCAGGACAATCTGTAATATCCTTCCTAAGAACAGGAGAGAGATAATGAAAGGTAAACAGGAGAGAGATAATGAAAGGTAATTGGGATAATGTATTAGAAAGCCTTCGTACACTTCAAGGTAACAATATCATCACAACAATTACTATTGTTATTATTATTTCAGAGGCAGCCTCACCAGAACTTGGTGACTGGACTGGTAGGAGGGGATAGGACAGAGTCAAGAGGACTGCATCAGTGGGTAGATGAGCGACAAGGATCTCTGATCTTTCGGGAGGGTCAGCTGACCACTCCCTCTCTCCCCCAAGATCTGTGAAGACAGTGTTCTGTGCCCTGTCACCTCATGAACTGCTTCCTCATTCCTTCGAGCCACACCCTATATTTGGCTAAAAGAAGCAGACACTCTAAGAAAAGTTAGCCTCTGTACTCCCTCCTTTCAATGTTTACAGATGGGGCCTCGTCTGAGACTTTCCTTAAATAATAATAAGCATCATCATCTCATATAGGAATAGCCAACTTTATTGAGTACTTAGTATATGCTAAGCAACTTACTTACATAGTTTTCTTACCCTGGGAAGTAGCTGTAATGGCTCATGGAGTTCTGTAACTTTCTCAGTCACGTAGCTTATGAGAAGGATTCCAGTGCAGTGCAAGTCTGTGTGATTTTAAGGCTGCATTCCTAAAGATTTTTTTTTTTTTTTTTTTTTTTGCCAGGCTCGGTGCCTCATACCTGTAATCCCAGCACTTTGGGAGCCCGAGGCAGGCAGATCACAAGGTTAGGAGTTCGAGACCAGCCTGGCCAAAACCCTGTCTCTATTAAAAAAAAAAAAAAAAAAAGGGAGAGATGGAGTCTTGCTCCATCACCCTAGCTGGAGTGCAGTAGCACTACCTTGGCTCACTGCAACCTCTACCTCCCAGGTTCGAGTGATTCTCATGCCTCAGCCTCCTGAGTAGCTAGGATTACAGGTGCCCACCACCATGCCTGGCTAATTTTTGTATTTTTAGTAGAGACAGGGTTTCAACATGTTAGCCAGGCTGGTCTCGAACTCTTGACCTTAGGTGATCCACTGGCCTCAGGCTCCCAAAGTTCTGGGATTACAGGAGTAAGTCGCCACACCCAGCACCCTAAAGATTTTTACTATGTCTTTTTGCAGCAACTTAGGGAGGAGGGCAAGATAAGTGTTGTCATCACTTTATAGTTGGGGAAACTGAAGCTCAGAGAAGGTAAATTCAATCACTTGGACAAATTAGTAAAATCTTCCATGGTGCAGTTTGGTGTCTTTCTGATTCTCAGAGCTTCCTCCTCTGCACCCTCCAGACCTCCTAGGAGTAATGAGTAGAGACTTGCCCAGACTGCATAAGGGAAGGACTTACATTCGTCCTTCTCCTGGGGAAGGGAAAGGTTATAAAAAAGTCAGTTCACGTGGTTATGGAGGCTAAGCCCCAAGATTTGCAGTCAGCAAGCTGGAGACAAAGGAGAGTCAATGGTTTAGTTCTAGTCTGAGTCCAAAGGCCTGAGAACAAAGAGAGCCAATGGCCCAAATAAAAATCCAAAGGCAGGTCAGGCACAGTGGTTCACGCCTGTAATCCCAGCATTTTGGGAAGCCAAGGCAGGCAGATCACCTGACGTCAGGAGTTCAAGACCAATCTGGCCAACATGGTGAAATCCTGTTTCTACTACAAATGCAAAAAAAATTAGCTGGGTGTGGTAGTGGGAGACTGTAATCCCAGCTACTTGGGAGGCTGAGGCAGGAGAATCACTTGAACCCGGGAGGCGGAGGTGGCAGTGAGCTGAGATCCTGCCACTGCATGCCAGCGTGGGTGCTTGAGAGAGACAGTCTCAAAAAAAAAAGTCCAAAGGCAGGAGACCAAAGTACCAGCATGAGCACAGTCAGACAGGGAGACAGAATTTTCTTACTCCACCTTTTTGTTCTATTCAGGCCTTCAAAAGATTGAATGAGGCCCACCCACTTGGGAAGGGCAATCTGCTTTACTCAGTCTATGGATTGAAAAGTTAATCTCATCTACAAACACCCTCACAGACACACCCAGAATAATGTTTAACCAAGTATCTGGGCATGCCATGACCCAGTCAAGTTGACACATAAAATTAATCATCACATAAATAAAAAATTAAAAAAACTTGATATCTCAACCACATTAAATATAGAAATTCTGTGCATCAAAAGACTGTGTCATAAAGGGAAAAAAGATAAACTACTAACTGGGAGAAAATCTCTGCAACGTTTTGGCTGGCAAAGGATGAGAATTCAAAAATATATAAAGAATTCCTAACAAACTTATATTAGGTAAATGGACAAAGGATGTAAACATAAAGCCACAGAAGAAATACAAATGACGAATAAGTATGAAAAGGCTTCACCTGACTAGTAATGGGCTTGTGGCAATAGCTAACAAAGTAGATGTGCAGACCTTTGACTCAGCAATCCTGCTCCTGAATATAAAATCCAGGGAGATGAACATGTGCAAAAGGAAACCTGTTGAAGATGTTCTCTGAAGCATTGCTTGAAATATGGAAAAATTAGAAACAACCTAAATGTTCACCAATAGGTTAATATACAAAATATAACATAGTATGTAATGAAATACTACCCAACAGTGAAAGGTAGGAATATGGATAATTCATCAGGCAGGGTGGCTTATGCCTGTAATCCCAACACTTTGGGAGGCTGAGGCAGGCGGATCACTTGAGGTCAGGAATTCAAGACCAGCCTGGTGAAGATGGTGAAACCCCATCTCTACTAAAAATACAAAAATTAGCTGAGTGTTGTGGCACATGTGCCTGTAATCCCAGCTGCTCGGGAGGCTGAGGCAGAAGAACCACTGATCCCAGGAGGCACAGGTTGCAGTGAGCCAAGATCGCACCACTGCACTCCAGCCTGGGTGACAGAGCAAGACTCCATGTCAAAAAAAAAAAAAAAAGAATATAGATAATTCTCAAAAACATCATGTTGGTAGGAAAAAAGAATATTGCAGAGGATGCAACTTATATGATTTATATTAAGCTTAAAAACACACAAAGAGGCCAGGCATGCCACCATGCCTGTAATCCCAGCATTTGGGGAGGCTGAGGCAGGCGGATCACCTGAGGTCAGGAGTTTGAGACCAGGCTGGCTAACATGGTGAAACCCCGTTTCTACCAAAAATACAAAAAATTAATCACCTGCAATCCCAGCTACTCAAAAGGCTGAGGCAGGAGAATCACTTAAACCCAAAGACAGAGGTTACAGTGAGCTGAGATCACACCATTGCACTCCAGCTTGGGCAACAAGAGTGAAACTCCAGCTCAGAAACACACACACACACACACACAGAAATACTATATTGTTTAGGGATATTCATACCTTTGTTAAAAGTTAAAATGTTTGTTAAAATGTTAAAAGACATGTATTACTGCTATGCTCTGAATGTTTGTGTGTCCCCAAGAGTCATACATTGAAATGTAATCCCAAATGTGGGAGTGTTAGATGATGAGGCCTTTAGGAGATGAGTAGGTACCCTCATGAATGGGATTAGTGCGTTATGAAAGAGATCTAAGAGAGCTAGCTGGCTCCTCCCACCATGAGAGGACACTGAAAGGTGCAGCCTATGAGAAAGTGGGCCCTCACCAGACAACACCACCCCATTAATCATGGCTTTCCCAACCTCCAGAACTGTGAGAAATAAGTTGCTGTTGCTTATAAAATACTCAGTCTAAAGTGTTTTGTGATAGCAGCCCAAATAAATGAAGACAATTGCCATGATAAACACTGACTTCAGGGTAGTGGCCACTTCTAGGTAGAGAGGGAGGGGAATCAGATGGGAAAATGGAATTTATAATGGAATGGAATTATAATTAGAAATTGGAATTGTATTTGTAACAGTTTTATTCTTGAATTAGGTAGTATGTACATGGGTACCTACTATTAAATACTATACTTTTTCTTGAGATACAATTAACATATAAAATTAATCATTTTAAAGTGTGCAATTTCGTTGGTTTTTAGTATATCCACAAAGTTGTGAAACTGTCACCACTCTCTAATTCCAGAACATTTCATCACTCAGAAAAAGAAATCTCATGTCTATTGAAACTGCCTTTGCAAGATTATGACTGAGACAGTGAAAGAGATCTAATTCAATCGACTCCATCTTGCTCTAACCTCCAAGCTGTCCTTGTTCATTCCTAGGCATAGATTGAACTAACTTTGGGAGAAATTTAGTTTCTAGTTTCTAGTTTTTGCTTCTGTTTTGATACGGAGTCTCACTCTGTCACCCAGGCTGGAGTGCAGTGGCATGACCTCGGCTCACTGCAACCTCCACCTCCTGGGTTCAAGCAATTCTCCTGCTTCAGCCTCCCAAGTAGCTGGCATTACAGGTGCCCACCACCACACCTGGTTAATTTTTGTATTTTTGGTAGAGAGAGAGTTTCACCATG